ACAAAGAGGAGGGAGAGTGCCGCGAAGTGATCTAATCTGTTTGTGCGTTGCAGCTCAATGGGGAGAAGCGAGAGAAGCGCGCAGCTCAGAGTGAACTGAGGAGGAAGAGGAGCAGCTGGGGAGGTGTCAGCTGAAGTAGACAGGAAAGAAACAAGACGAGAGAGAGAGAGAGATCTGAAGTGAACACTGACTGTTAAAGGTAGGAGCATTATTGCATGCTGTGCCCATATCACTCTCATTTAATCTGTAAAAAAAGATCACTCGTGTGCAGACTGCATGTGGACAGAGCCGGAGATTGCATAACGGTCCAAACAGGGCTGTTCACTCTTCTACTCTTATTGACAGAAAAATAAAAAAATAACAGTAGTTAAAACTTCTGCTCCAAAATGTTGAATCTTTTTAAGTTTATAGCTGCTTGCAAAACTTTTTGTTTTTATTCCTTAAATCAAAGTTTGTAAAAAATAAATATATATATATATATTTGGATGCACTGTAAATCCAAGTGAAGAGCTGCTAAAGTGTTTATTTTTTCTGTTTTTTAGACTTTTTCTGTGGGAATAAAGAAAACAAGATTGTTTAAAGGGATAGTTCAAATCATTTAAAGAAGGGGTCTTTGGAAAGGTAATAAACAATATCTTACTTGTAGATAGCTCTTTGAATGCACAAATTTAACTGTTGTCTTAATACATTTCAATTCAAATCCAAAAATACTTTATTGATCCCAGAGGGACATTAGGTAAATCTAATATTTAAAACTTCCAAGCAGTTCATACAAATATTGTTTCATAAACCTGTATGTTTTTGGATTACATTGTTATTTGGGATGATTTTCCCCCACAAATGACCCCAGCTGCATGGTGAACTGATGGTGAAGTAAAGGTTTATTTGTAGACTGAAGTTGTTTGGTCTTGGCCCTTCGCTGACTATCCATGAGCTCATTGGTTTAATCAGAATTAAACTTTTTTTTTTAAATTTGGCCAAACTGAGGTTTTTCATAGAAAATTTTATGTTGAGAACATTTCAAATAATAATAATAATAAATAAAAACACTTCAAAAATAACATGGGCTTTCACTTTAAAGTTTTCTTGTGCATTTGATGTATTTTAATTCAGTTAAAATTTAGTTATAGTGTAACAGAGTTGAGGTTTTTTTTGTTAAAGCCACAGACACAACCTGCGCTGTACATTAGTGAGCTCAGCTTGGAGACATAGCTGAGGGATGGAGTCACTGACAAACTGTGGTTGCTCCGGCTGTTGCTCTAAGTTTAGGAGAAAACTTGGTATCTCTGACAACAGCCCCAAACACAATCCAACTCTGTTGCCTGCAGGACAACATTTCCCGAGTCTCTTTGTCTTCCCTTTGTTTTTTATCATTCCTTTCCACAGAAAAAAAAATGTCTTGGGTGTAGGGATGGATGCTTGACAGAGCTGACTTCGGTTCCTCTGCTCTCGCCCACTCCTCAAGTGTTTTTCTATCAGCTGTGGAATTTGAACCATTCTTCCTTTGGGGTGAGGCCTTCCCCTCTGTCTGCCCCAGTTCAGAGGATTGTGCTGTCTCCAAGGAGCCTCTGTGTGTGTGTATGTGTGTGGGTGGGTATAGGGCTTCCAGTAGAGTTATACACTAAACATTACTAGCTGCTGGATAGCCCTTCAGTTAGCCGAGTTCACACAGCTGGGAGACATACAGTATATAAGAAGTGGTGTCTTTGTGTGCGTGGAGCAACGTCCCACACACGCTAAAACCCACATTCACAGTCTCTTTCAGGCCAACGCCTCTCCTCAACTGTTTCCAAAGTTACCGAGAGCTGTAAATATGCTCCGAAAAGTTCGGTTTCATTTTGTCTGGGGATGCTTTAATGTCTGGGTGTGGAGAAAGCTCGGGGCGTAAGGTTTTCGCTCATGTCTGCGTGTGTCTTTTGTGGAAATATTTCATGAACCACTGGACAGATCTTAATGAAACTCGAAGAAAGTAATCATTAGAGGTACACGGACAACTGATTAACTTTTGGGGTCAACTCGATTCAAGGAGGCGGTCAACTGAGCTTAAAAAACACAAAGTCAGCTCAGTCCGTTTTGCAGAAACAGATTCTCAGTGCAAGTTTTTATTTTATTTTATTTTATTTTATTTTTTTGTATAAAATTTTGCTGTCATCTATTTGGAGTTAACTCAATCTGTCTGTCGGCAAAATATTTCATGAATCACTGGCTGAAATTTAGTGAAACTTTCAGAAAAATGCTCTTAAATACCGAATGTGTTAGAATAGCACATGCTACAAGCGTTAATCACTTTGCAAGTTTTTTTGCTTTGACTTTCAGCATAACCTACCGGGATTAACCTTGTTTGTCTGTTCGCAAAAAACTCTTATAAATCACTGGATGTTTATAAAACTTCTAGAAAGTGCTTGTTATAAGTGTATCTACAACTAATAAACTTGATACAAGTTTATTCAACTTGATAAGCTGATATTCAAATGGCTATAACTCTAGATTGTACAGTTATTGAGCTAAAATTCATTGCGACAGTAACTAAAAGTCATTCACAACACTTACTTTAAGCATTATAATATTGCAACATTGTGCATATTGCAAGATTATTTTTGAGGTTTAAATAAAATGGCTATAACTATCATTTCTTAACATGAGACATGATCTTTGTCTGAAACTCTGGCATGAACGGTGGTAAATGTGGCCTTTATTTTCAAATTTTATGACAAAAAACACCTAAAAACACATGCACATGCATTTTCAGAGGCCAATGTTTGCACACAAGAAAGCTCACAGTCATCACAACTCTGCTTATCACAGCATCGCATGATGTTTGACCTCTTCAGGAAGGTTTGAGGGGAGAAAATTATAGAAACATCAATTGATGGTGAGATAAAGAAATAGAGGGGAAAAAAAAGCTATTGTGCACATTTAGTCTGTCATTGGCTTGTTCTTTTTCAAAAAGAACACCAACCTGGTGCGCTCCGAGATGAGAAGTGAAGCGGAGAAGCAGATTGCTTGAAAACAAATAAGAAACCAAGCTGTGGCGAGGAGCAAAGAAGGGCGGGTAAAGAGTGCAGAGCTGGAGAAAGAGGGACACGAAGGGGTTTTGGCTGTGGGGGTTGGGGGGGAGTTGGTGTCAAGGTTGCTGTGGTACTGAGAAAGAACGTACTGGGAAGAGAGAGTGTGCCAGACTGGGTGTGACTGTGATGAATCAAACAAAACATGCCTAAAACCACTTTCTGAAACCTTTTTGTTTCCTTCAAGAAAGCTGCTTTGCAAGATAAAGCTGAAGAATTCTGGTCAAAGGTGAAGGAAGGAAAAGTTCAGCTGGCCTCTGTTGGAAAAAAAAATACATCATTCCAAACTGATTCCATATGTGAAATTCCTTTTGAACATCTGTGTTGTGATAAAACACTGTCTTGTGGTGGTAGATCTCTCTGTTTATGACCAAAAGCAAACTTAGCTCAGTCTTGCCCAACCAAATAGTTCTTACACTATTAACAACCCCACCCCCAAGGAAACATAAACGTAATGTCTTTTCTGATTTTGTGAATGGATGAATTAAAACCCACCCAACTGTGGACAGCTCATCTGTGAGGGAATGAGTTGTTTCCGTGCTGAGAGACTTGGATAAGAAGGTGTCACATAATGAGCAAGGACAGAACAAGGCAGAACCAGAGTGAGTGGGTAAAGAGGAGATAAGAAACCCAGCTCGGCTGAGAGTGGGTGTGTTTTTTTTTCTTCCCTTTTTTTTTTATCCAGCTCAGGGTTGCTTCAGGTTGGAGATAGGCCAGGGTCTGATGGCGGGATGTGTTCCGAGGTCTAGGATGGCTGGGAACGTTACTCCACATCACTGCTGACGGAACGTACTGGAAGAGTTCTGGGCCGAAGGTTGGGGTCAGCAAGATTAGCTTGATTTTTGATATCTTTAAAGCTTTAACTGTGTTCAGTTTCACTTTAATTATTATTTATTTTCCATGTGTCTATTCATGTTTCTGAGTCTCGGTGTCTTTCGCTGTAACTGTGCACTGCTGGGAACTCTGTGTGCATTTTCTGCATTGCCTGACTTTAAAATAACTGGTTGCAAAAGGTCGGAGAGAGGTCAGGGTGCGCTAGAATTACAGCAAAAGAAGAATCTGTATAAGTGGCTGAAATAAAAAAAAAGATCTTGGACTGATTGTTACTTTGATTCTTTGGGTTAAAAACTGTAAGTCAAGATTATTCGGCTTTTCTATATAATGTAGCCAATCATAGCATTTATTCCTTGTCTGAATCCCAGGAGAGGATTGTAGCATTTGGTTCGTTGGCTGTGGCTCTTTTCTATTTACGTTCATGTCTGTTTTCACGAGACGTCTTGCTTCCTACTTTAACTGTGAAGATGGGTCCCTGAGACAAACAGTGTCTGCATGTGATTCTACATGTGTGTATTTTTTAATATGTGTGCAACTCTGTGTGCAATCTGATCTCAGGGAGTCTATTTTTCTTTCCACATCTGCTTGCTTCCCTCATTTGTGGCAGAAAGCTGATCCCCTTGGGCAAATAGGCAGCATCATATGACTGAGGGAATGCCATCTAGGGATTCAAACGTGTGTGTGTGTGCGTGCGTGCGTGTGCGTGTGTGTGTGTGTGTTGTGTAATCACGGTCTGCTTTTTACACTACAAGAGGTGTTCTGAGGCTCTAGCTGTGAAAGTTGTGCATATCTGTTTGTTTTGTGGGGGTCTAACTGAAATTGAACAGGTGGGCTTGACTTCTTGCATCCTCCCCAGACCCTTGGAACTCGACCCCACGCACTATGTACTTCACGTCTGCATGGGGGCTCCAAACAGACCCATATGTCCCTCTTCTGTGTTGTTCTTTGGCGTCTCTCATTTTCTGTGCCTGCAAGCCTTGGCTGTCTGTCTGCTTATCTTCCCGTTTTGTTTTCACCTCTATCTGTCTGCGTTTCTTTTTTGACGCCCGCAAACTAATTAAAAGACCCTACCAATTAACACATAGAGCAGCATCGATGGCTCTGTTTTGGTGAGACGACAAGAGCCAGAAAAAAAAAATCGTAAAAAAAACCTTTATTTTTTTACTGATTTGAACTAGTGTTGGGAATTCTGGTTCTTTTTAGAGAGCCAATTCTTTTGGATCGGCTCACTAAAAAGAGACGTCATTTCTGGTCAGATTTTTTTCTTGCATATTACCAAAAGTATGTGTAAAATACTGTAAATTACTAATGTAAAAGTGTACACTATATTATTTTTTATTCATGTAGTACAGCAAAAAAAAAAAAAAAAAAAAAAAAGCAACAGCTTCTAAAACCAAACAACATTTCAGCAGTTCTAAAGAAGGCATATTGCCAAAACTTCAACTGTTGTTTCCTTTTCATTTGGAAACTGTTGCCTTTTTTTGCTGTGTCACAATTTGTCATCACATCTCAGTGGGGCACCCTTGTTTAGTGAGTCTGAATGCACTTCTTTCTCCTGTTTTGTGTTAATTTAAATGGTTTTATATACACAACATAGAACAAACTGCTGCAAAAATAAATTATAAAGTACAACTAAAAGCAAATATCCATCTGAACTGGACAAACATGTTCAATCTCTAATTGTGCATAATGTTATTATGTGTTCAGTTGTGTCCATAGTGTTTATTCTTATTTCTTCCTTGTGTGCTCTAATATTTTTTTCCTTTAGATTTTCTTTATATTATATATACTTCCTTGATGTAATATTTTTTTCTTTTATATTTTATCTCTAATGCTTACTTGAATGGTTGCTGCTGTAATAATTACTATTTCCCTCCAGGGATCAATAAAGTATTCTGATTCTGATTCTGATTATGATATTATTTGTAAATTTGCAACAATGTGAAACCACACCTAAAAAATGCTCAACAAAATAAAAATTAAAACATGCAAAAGAAAAAATAAAAGCAGCATCCCATAGACATTTTTTGGAAGTATGTACCAAATAATGACATTCAAAGAAAATTAATAAAA